ATCAAAGAACTCAGTCAACCAAGGCTGCTGCTCAACCCAGACTTCAGTCAACCAACCAAACACACTAATCTCTTGCAGAGGTTTCCACAGAAATGCATCAACCAAACTGAACATAATGAGCATCTACCATACCATAACTCCTCTCAAATTCTGTCTATTAACCCATTAAACTCTACTGGTAGTATTCAAAGACACTAAATATAATGCTGAGTTGCAAGGATGTATAAAATGCTGAACAAGACATTTCAATTGATGTAATGGTGCAGCCATAAAACAATGGCATATTTTATTTCACTCAATGTAAGTTGAAACATAGTAGCTTCAAGCAAAGCATAGGTACTATAATACAGTGATAAATGATACAGCTATTATATTGTCACGAACTATACCTAAAAGCTATGTAAGGGAAAATTTAAAGTGAAACAGGTTAACTAAGTATTTCAAATCCATCATATCAATTGATTTGTAAAAGAAATTAAGTTGAAACTTCATTAATCTGATATCTTCTGAAACAGGGACCTTATGTAATTAATTAATAATACGATCTGCACTAGAGGTCTGCAGACGTGTGTCGAATTTTCTTCTCTCCTCTTATTGCCATAGTGTATGTGTGTGTTTTTACATGCATCAGAGGGAGCTTGATTGTTCTAGGTAAAAAAAACTTGAAATGTGAGACCAAAATTCTTGCCCTTGACCAGTAGTGCTAGACATTTAAGGCAATGGGAGCTGGAGAGTAAAACAAAGCTATCTAACGTAGCTTTTTAGTTGTGTTTCACCATCCACTCTTACCAGACTGTACTCTTGCCAGAATATAAACTGCTGCACAAAAGAGCAGTGTTTGCAGACTGTTATGAGACAGGAATCAAAGTACAACAAAATACAAACACATCAGTTAAGTAAATTGTCCTAATTCCGTGTCCAGTTAGTGACTGACTTAGCAAGCCTGCTATCTTGGAGAGCACTTGTGACTGACTATAGTAGGCATATTTTATCTTGTCTGGTGTGTTAGCTGTTAGGGGTTAGGGTTAAAAAAAAAAAACATGACAGCTCCAGTGGCCACAAACCACTCTGTACAGTGGTTTCAATCTCAAATCACTTGACTGAGCATGAGGCACCTTTTTATCATGGTTCATCCACTGCAATTAATCTTTAACAGATGTGATGCAACTCTTTCCCTCTGCTTCTTTCACACATACAGTGTCACTCTTTCTTTATCTCCGTTTCCGTCTCTCCAGCTTTCTATCTTCACATACCATAAATATTGCAAAATATCCATCCTCATTCGGGTTCCTAATTCCAAGTCTACCTTTAGGGCCTCACCTTACTGGGCCATAGCAGTGAAACACAAGGCTTTTCAGAGCTAATAAAACAAAGCCTGTTGGGGGGAGTGTAACTCCCGAGACATAGAAATGCAGAGTCTTAACACTTGCAACTGTTGGTTGTTAGTTTCATACAGTGAATCAATTGGACTGGACTCCAAGTCTCTCTGGGAGAATGTAAGGCATACTGAGAGATGGGGGAAAAAAAAGATTCCTCGGCCAGATGATTGGACATTCAGAATACCCAAACCTTAATTCTACTGTGCAACAGTCATTTATGGCTTCAGGACTGCTCAATAATGCATCAAAACCCACAGGCCTCCAGGGGAAGCAGTCAGTAATCAAAAAGTAAGTTAAGGTTTTCATAATAGGGCCCTATAAATAACTGGGGACAGAAATGAGGGCATGTAAAATTGATGAGGGATGATTCAAACCCCACGAGGTGGAGGGAGCTTAACGCAAGGAGAAGGAATGTGATGTTGAGTGGCCTGGTGATATGGGCATATGTAGAGGATGGAACTGTATAAGTGATTTGTGTCACCACTGTTATCTAACTCTACAGATATATGGACATTGTTCTAGAGGCATCGTCTTTGAAACTGTGCTATTAATGTAGAAATACACTCCAGTCTTATTAAAGTATTTTACAGTACATTTTAAACAATCTCCCAATGCTTGCATAACCTATGGCTACCAATTAAATTTTTACAGAAGAAGAGCTGAACCTTTTTTATATTGTAATTATTGATTCATTCTACTCCCATGTATTACATCAGAGAAGCCTTAAAACTTGGTGTTAATTCTAGTTTCTTGTACTACTGAAGGACATCTTTATTTTTTCATGGAATCTATACCAGGATGTCAAGTTCATAGATTACATTAATTTTAAAAAGTACTCCACTATCTTCAAGCAAGGCTGTGAATAGGTATTTTGATCAATGCATGACTCTATTTCAATAGTTGTATTTTTGTTGCAACTGTAGGCATGTGTATGATACAGTTTTTGTTTGTTTGTTTCAAGTGAGACAGAAAACATACATGACTTTTATAACTTGAAGAATATGGGTTGAAATGAGCACCCAAAACAAAACTCCCACACATTCTTTCAGAAATGAAAAAAAGATGGTGTGCTTGAGCTTCTTTGCATTTTCTGAAGAATCCTGAGTTCTCCAGTGTACTTATCACTAACGACTCTACTGTAAAAAAGAATTTCAAAACCAGTGTTTGAAAACCAAGAGCGTAATGAGGCCTTGTAAAGCATAAGTAACTTATTTACTCAGTTCTAAATAGACTAAATCCAGGAATCTTCTACTGTGTGTGTTAAAATGAGGATGCTATTAAGATTTTTAGGAAATCGACAGTGTTGTATTGTCATAATGTCATACTGGAAAACAGTAATGAAAATTAAACAAAATAGGTCACACAACAGCAAATAATTAGTCTTACTACGCATTTATTACACTCTTGAGGATGTCCTTTTTTTGGCCCCGATCCCAACCAGAGTCCTTTATTATTAAGTATCTGCTGATACAGAGTTTGATCAAGTACTTATATTTGACTCAAAGTTGGTTTAATATACACAGATCAGCCATAACATTATGTTATTCAGCCCTATTTGCAACAAACTTACACCTTTCTATCAGAACCAG